CTCATCCACCTGCTGGCCTCCACCACTTGCTAATGTTACTGAATCTGTGGAAGCACCGCCATAGCCACCACCAAACAACTGAGTTATTTTTACACACCAGCCAGCATCTGGCCAATCCACCACCTTTCATTGTTTATACCGTTACAAAAATAATAATAATAATAATAATAATTGGGCCACCGAGCAAATGCCTGGTATGCCGATGGCCAGTCCAGCTATGGTCGTGGCTTGCCAACCCTGGGCACGAAGCCTGGATCTGTAATAAAATGATCAGTGTGGCTGCTTTACCAGGTGTAGCAATTAAGTTTAACATCCAGGCATCCATTAAAAAGGAAAAGGATTTATGAAGTTTAACAGATTTAGAAGTTAGCAGGAAGTTTGCTCGCTAGTTTACACCTGAACATGATATAGCATGTTCTGACTGAGAGATTGATTATGATAGCAGAGCTATCAGAGTTACAAACTGCTTTCACCAGATAGCAACACAATTTCGATCCGCTCCTCACGTGTTAACCTCTTCAACATGTCAATGGCTGTGAACAAAGAGAAACTTGTAAATAACTCATGAAAGAATAAAGTTACGTTGAAACCAAGCACACCATTGGTTTTCTTGTGACATTACCAATAAGTTTGATGTGTCACATGGCCCTCTTCCTATTGAAAGAACAAAAGTTGTATCCAAGATGGCCGACTTCTAAATGGTCACCATGGTCACCGCCCATCTTGAGGCGTTTGCCCCTTTACATATACTGATGTGCCACAAACAGGACTTTAGTATCACCAACCATTCCCATGTTATTACGCTGTATCCATATAAATGGCCTACCCTGTATAACAAGATACAAAGCATGTTAAAAACACAACAGACTTATTAAACGCAGAGTAGTTTGGACCCGGAAGCAGGATTTATCAGATCATCAGTTAAAGACCGGATAGGATCTCCTTTAGGAAGCACTGAAGCAGGAGAGGAGACGATTTCGTCCCATAATTCATAGTGAAAAACATCTTTTGTTTTAGAAGCTTTATGTTCTTTTTTTTCTTGCGCTCAGAGTTCAGTTGTACTGAAATAATCCTGCTCAGATTATCATAGAGTTTCTGGATGAATAATTAGAGAGCTGATAATTTTGTGTTGTGTGTTTAATAAGCTGCTCACATACAGACGAGCACAGGTACACTTACAGGTACAAGCACAGGTAAACTTACAGGTATGAGCACCTGTGACAGAGATATAAACAGGACAACAGAAACTCAACCAAGAAACTGGAGCCAATATTCCAGCAAATCAAACACATAGGAGATGATACAACCAATAATCTATAGATAATCTATACAGAAAGACATCACACAGCTGAACATAAATTAAAACAAATTAAAGTTATAAACATTTCTCTGTGACATACGAACACTGTAGAAAAATATATGGACATGTCTCTCTGAAGAGCTCAGCAATGGCTCAGCAGTCAGTACAATCGTTACGGTCAGGGTCAGCGTCTGTGGAAAGGACCAATAACCCATCAATAAGCCGTCAGTAGCCTGTCAATAATCCTTCAATAATCTGTCAGTAACCTGTTAATAATCTGTCAATAAGCCATCAATAACCCATCAATAACCTGTCAATAATCGTCATAAAATGGCAACAACCTGTCAATAACCTATAAATAAGATGTCAATAACCCATCAATAATATGTCACTAGCCTGTCAATAACTTCTCAATAAGCCGTCATTAACCTGTCAATAACCTGTCAATGAGCTGTCAATAGCCTGTCAGTAACCTGTCAATAACTTCTCTATAAGCCATCAATAACCCATCTGTATCCTGTAAATAACCTGTCAATAACCCATCAATAATCTGTCATTAACCTGTCAATAACGGCTCAATAAGCCGTCAATAACTTCTCAATAACCCATAAATAACCCGTCAATAACCCATTAATAACCTGTCAATAATCGTCATAAAACGGCAACAACCTGTCAATAACCTATAAATAAGATGTCAATAACCCATCAATAATCTGTCACTAGCCTGTCAATAACTTCTCAATAAGCCGTCATTAACCTGTCAATAACCTGTCAATGAGCTGTCAATAGCCTGTCAATAAGCCGTCAATAACTTCTCAATAACCCATAAATAACCCGTCAATAACCTGTCATTAACCTGTCAATAACCTGATGTTAATCTGAGGCTCCACGTCTGTTAAATGGTAAACAGACTGGTTATAGTGCTTTTGTTCTCTGTCTGAGCACTCAAAGCGCTTTACACAGCTAATTCATTCACCCAATCACACCCATTCACACAGGCACTTCTTCTAAGTTTAAGTGCTGAGTATCTAACATTCACACACATTCACACTCCAATAAACGCATCGGAGAGCAACTTGGGGTTAGTATCTTGCCCAAGGATATTTGGCATGCAGACTGGAGCAGCCTGGGATTGAACCACCGACCTTCTGGTAAGTGGCTGATCTGCTCTGCCACCTGAGCTACAGCCACCCCGTAAAAAGGACCAATAATCTGTCAATAATGTGTTCATAATCTGAGGGTGGTAATCTGATATGTAGGATCAATAATATGAAGGTTATCAATGACTCACCGCCTCACATCCTGTACATTCCCTCCTGCTCGCTGCGTAGCTTCCTGGCTCTGAGAACGTCTCTGACACACTGATGCAGGTATGCATACTGCACCTGTGGAGAGGTGGCAGGTGAGTCACACCTGAGCTCAGATTACAAAATATCATTTTCAGTCTGACAGCAGAGATTATGGGATTATTACAGGAGTCTATCATTTCAGCCTGGGGGATTATTTTAGTCACCTGTGACTGAGTGCCTTCAGGTGTTTGTCAGGACCGGTTTTAGAAACACAGATTAGCCAGTCAGGACAAACTGAAAAAAACCCGTCTTGTAAACAGGAGATCTTGGGTTCCATTGATATATTTAATATTTACATTTGCTCAGCTCAGGAAAGCTCTCAGAGGACATCTCTGGACCATCTCATAGCATCAGACATGAAAACAAATTGAAGTATGTAAATAATAAGTCTGAACTCATTCAGGTTCTCAGCAGCAGTTTCAGTGCTGAAATCCCAAATGTGAAATTTCAGTCATCATACCAGATTAAACAATTTTCAAACTACAAATATGGCTGACACACAGAAAAGGAAGAGTCGATTAAAAGTGCAGAGATAGATGCCACATAACGGCATACAAACGTTTGCCCCCATGAAGCATTGGTCCTACCTCAGTCTGCACCATGTGGGATCGATGGAGTCGCAGGTCAAACACGGCGCTGTAGATATCCACCGTGTCTTTGGCGTCCAGTTGCTGCAGCACTCGATCCAGGACAATGAAAGTCCCCGTCCGGCCCACACCGGCGCTGACAAAAAGACCAAAGTCCAGTCAAAAAACACGTCGTATACTGACCACAGCTAATGAGCAGGATGGTCCACATTAGTCCACAAACACAAATTAGCGTGTTATACTGGTGAAAAACACAAGGGTTCTCAGACTATGAGGTTTCTGTTGGTTTAGCTATAATTACTTCTCATCTGACCATGTGATGCTTCACACAGTTTGAGATTCTAGGAATTCAGTGGTTCGTCACTCTGAAGAGGCTGATATTTTAAGGGCACAATGAGGTACCTGCAGTGGACTACAGTGGCTCCAGATCCCGAAGTCCTGTTGACGTAGTCTCGGACAGTACGGACAAACTGGATGAGGGACTGAGTGGTCTCTGGGACACCGTGGTCCGGCCACACCGTGTAGTGAAACTGACGAACCAGGCGGCTGAAGCCGAGCTGCTCCTCCTGCAACGCACAGTCACATTAAACTGAGGTGGGATCGTTTTCTTGTTTCTCAAGAATAAAACGAAACAAGCGTTCGAGCCGTCTTTCGCACTCAAACCGGTTCTGTAACAAAGATGACAGCTGTCAATGAAACGTACGCTGTAGATGTTAAACTCTCTGATCGTCCACTCAGGTAGAACCGATTCTGACAGCATCTGGACGATCAGGTCTCCGTAGTACAGAGGATCCTGATCGAACGGCCAGTAGTGATCACATTTCACCTGGATGGAGGAAGAGGAGGAAAACCTCACTGTTTCAGGCTGATGAGTTTGTGAAGATGGTTTCTGTAATCATTGCCTCTGTGCTACCCACCCTTCCTTTCTCCACACACTGAGTGACCATCACCACATTGTGGACATTCTGCTCCCAAACCATCTTCCAGAAGTCGTCTTTAGTTCCAGGCAGAGGACCCTGTGTGGCGATGTACTCCCGCCGGAAGCTGTTACCCTGAAAACAGAGAGCGTGAACCCCCCGAAATTCGGACAACCCCTGTGACTGACTTATAGGAGTCTATGAGAAAATGATGCTACTGCTCACACGCTCTCTAACCTCGGTAAACACTTTATCGTCTTTGTCTCAGGTTTCAGAGACCAGCTTCATCATCTCGTCTTCACCCATCCTGCTCTTAACTTCTAAATGAGTCTTTATCGAGATCAGTCTTTGCAATGGACTTCTTCACATCCAACCAAAATTAAACCCTGTCCTAACTAAGCCAGGTGTGTTTGTGTTGCAATCATTGTATGGTCACCAAAAAACACCGACTGGCAAGCTGCGAAATGAAGTAACGATGAAGGAGAAGCTATTAGGTGGCCCTACTCACCTGAGTAAAAACTAAGATGCACTGCATGTTTTTATGTTTTCACTCTTTACTGCACTTTGAATGAGTCTCCAGTGTGGTGCATGTCAAGTCTGTACTGACTTACTGGGATGTAACTGGCATTGATGTAGTCAGAGCAGGGGTCGTCATCAACGTAGGACAGCTTGACCCTCGTCGAGTCGTCTGAATACGAGAAAGGCAGTTAGACCCAGACCTTCTACAACCCGGTGATCTCTTATTGTGTCTGTGGGCTCTTGACTCACAGGGCAGGATGTTATTGTATCGGTTCTTTCCCCGGTTCTCCGGCAGCAGAGCCGAGTCCAGAGGCTGGTTACGACCGACGTCCTTCAGATCCTGATAGGGAGAAAATAAAAGCGATTCACAACACAAACAAAGGCCCACTCTGAACACTCTTAAACGTCAAAATAGTGAAAACAGACAGGATAAACCCTGGATCTAACATCCTTCACAATCCTCAATGTTGCCACAAGTTTTTTATTCTTGGGGGATGTGATATGCTGAAGCTGGGGTCTTTCAAAGAGGAACAAATTAGTTTTATTGATTGCTGACCTCATACTCCTCTGACATCAGGTAGTTGGAGTCAGCCTGTAGTTTGCTGTAGTGAGACTCAAAGTTCACAATCTTAATGGGACTGCAGGAGAAAAGAAAACATTTAAAACCAGAAAAATTCACAAAAGGTCAAAGATGAACCTGAAGCAGTGTGAACGGGATTACAGACCTGGAGATTCGACGGCTGCTGAGGAGCAAAAGGCAGGGAGAGAGAGAGAGAGAGACCTCAGAGTTTAAACCTAATGATGCATTTTCATCTGTACACACATGCAGTACTACATGCAGTACTACATGCAGTACTACATGCAGTACTACATGCATTAATCAGAACCTCCTCTGAAAGAAAAAACAAGCTGTCACAATGCAATCACATGTCTGCAGAAACAAAGGCAAAAAGTACTCTGACTGTAGTATCAGTTCAGTTCTGATGCTGCCTGTGATACCTTCAGCAGGTAAGGGAGCTGAAGGTGCTGCAGCACCCCCTGGTGGATTTTAGAGGACATGCATGTCCATCAGTGTATCATGCAGGTAAGGGAATTCCAGAAAGCTGATTCTGTTTATTCGGACATCTTCAGTGGGAGAAACGTTTCATCATCGTCCAGGTGACTTCTTCAATCTCAGCTGACTGCAGGTTTCAACCTTATGAACAGGACATTTGCACAGTGACTGAAACTATCGTCCTTCCAAAAGACCTGTGGAGACCATCTCTGAATCGAGGAGGGGGCCTAAGGGTCACCATCTTACAATGCTGTGAGACTCATGGCCATCGATCAATGATCACAGATCGGTGATCGTGACATTTTCCATATTAATGATCATAAACTGACCTCACAGCCCATTGGTCACCAGTGGTGCTAGACTCAGTCATTGTGCAGGTGCTTATAAGGTTGATACCTGCAGTCAGCTGGGACTAAAGAAGTCACCTGATGATAATGAAACATTTCTCCCACTGAAGACGTCCAGATGAACAGGATCAACTTTCTGGGTAAAAAACTCTAATGATTTTATTTCATATCAACGGTGGTGAGAGTTTGCACTCTTACTGTTTCATTTCAAATGTGTTGTATAGAGTGTTATGAAAGGTGAGTCACTGTGCAAACATCCCTGAACATTATTGATTATTGATTACTTACCCTCTGACACCCAGCTGGTTCCCCGCTGCTGCTCTCTCTCTCCTCATATTTATCCTGACCTCCAGCCTCTCTTCCTCACTGGTGGAAACACAGCAGCACCGTTTAACCTAAACAAAGATAAGCAGGTGTACCTTACAGACAGGTGCATCCTCTGATACTCACACTTTGCGAGTTCTGTGCCTGCAGACAAACAGAGCAGTGATTCCCACAATCACAGCAGCGAGGAAGAGTCCAGCACTTACACCTTCGATGACACCGCTCAGAGGCTCTGCAGGAGGAAACACAACTGTGATACTTTTCTGAATTTTTCACCTGCACCTGCTCGTCCCAGCTTGACCTCGGGTGTATTTTAATCGAGCTAAGGTTTGTTCTCACCAGCCTCAGTGATGATGGGCTGCGATAGGCAGGTGTCAGAGAACAGTGGAGACAAGACACTCAAGTCCTTTGCATCATCATCAAACAGCTGAGTGAAAGCTCGGACGCTGATCCTGGAGACAAACACAGATGCCCCTAAGGTTATTCACGCAACGCCTGACCTTAGAGGTAACGCTGGAGCAAAAAGTCTACAGGGCTGAAAGTTTCAGAGATGATAAGCTGGTTCTAACAAACCATTAAGGCTCCAGGTTTCTGGTCAGTCTACTGCCCTGGAGTGCTGCAGTTTGGAGGAAGTGGACACGGAGTCAAGTACCTGACATTCATGCAGAGGATTTTTCAGTACCTGTAGGCAGTCTTTGGCTTCAGGGGTCCATCACAGAAGTGGTTCAGCTCTCCACTAGACTCTGGGTCCTGGTCTGAGCCTCTGGCATCACAGGTGCCCCCTAGCAAGTCCATCCCAGTCCCCAAGGTGATGTTAAAGCTCTGGGTGGTGCTGTCAGGGCTCTCGGTGCATCGGCTGGGGAAATAGCTGGTCTGGTAGGACCTGATGGAGCTGTTGGAGCTGTAGTCCAGGTAGGAGGGCAGTGGGTGCTTCTGCTCCAGCTGCATTAGGCTAACATCTTCAAAAACAAACCAGAAGATTCAGGATTAGATTATTGCATCCTATTATCTGTCCATCCATTATTGTTTCAGTTATCCATCTATTCATTTGTGTATTATTAATGTCAACATGCACTCATTATTATTTCATCATCATCCATAATTCCATAATCCATCCCATTATCCATTATTTATCCCAAAAGAAGAGGTATGAGGGAATGGTGAAAAAAATGACAGAACACACAATTTAAGGCCGATACCACCAAGTGAAGTCAGGTGACCAGAACAACAGGAAGGAGATCCAAGAGGAGTTACTACAGATTCTTTTCAGGAGGATCATCCAATTAGAAGAATTCCAGTAAACTGGCCTTATGTGGATGCTGCTCACCTTCAGACTCAGTCACCACTACAGTGAAGTACTTAACAGCTCCATTAACGTCACTGAACCAGCTGCAGTTAAACTGGAAGGAGATGGAGGACTTGGTGACCACAGCAGACTGCTCACTGACCCGGGTACCGGAGGGGGGCACAGGAGGACCTTCAAGAGTCAACAGGAGGACAGCATGTTAAACACCCTCCGTCATGCTGAGGACATGTTAACTTCCACTCGCTCTTACGGTCAAGCATGGTGACCACGTTGTCCTGAGCCTCGTCGCTGGGCTTCCCACCAGACATGACCTTCACAGAGACTGTGTAGTGTTTGTGAGGCTCCAGCTCAGTGATGATGTAGCTGTTGGAGTCCTGCTCAGCGAGTCTGGAGTACATCAGTGTGTGGGAATCCTTGTGGAGACACTCGATGGTGTAGGAGTCATAATCAGTGTCCGGGGTTACCCAGGAGCAGGAGATGGAGGTGGAACTCTGAGGGCGACAGTGGAGGCTGTGGACTCTCTCTGGCTCTGTAGACGAAAGTAATGGAGTGAAACCACATGACAATTCACATCAGAATTGACATAAAGTGCTGCCACCTACTGGTGCGGATGCTTTTGCGGATAGGTGTGCTATAGGTAGGTGTGGCCCCAGGCTCTGTGGTCCCACTGACGGTGCGGAGGCTGAAGTTGTAGAGCCGTCCAGGGAACATCCCCCTCAGGATGCGGTTGCTGGACGTCCGGGTGTGGTACGGATTGATGATGGACAGCCGGTCCCGAGGAGTCCACTGCAGGTCAAAGTCATCATAGTCGGAGTCCACAGGGCCGCTCCATGTGATCTCCAGGGAGGTGTTGGTCACCCCCCTGAACAAGATGGAGGCAGGTGGTCTGGGAGCTGAGGAGGGACAGGATTTGTTGCTGATCAGAAACTATTCCGATTCGTGTGTCTCTGCTTAAAATTAGGATTTCTTCTGTTCTGCTCCTCGTGTTTCTAGACTTTATGTTTTAAAATGTCTCTTGTTACTTTATGTTGCGACTGTGTGCTGCACTGATAAAACTGGAAAAATGCCTTTTGCTAAACCACTGAAACTGCTGACTGAATATCAAGGAATACTGAGGTGATCTGAGCTCTAACAGAAGCTGCATCTTACCCGTCCGGCCCAGGGTGCTCGCCCTGTTGCTGAGCCCGCCGCTCTGGCTCAGCACCTCAGCTCGATACAGGCGACCCGCTACAAGGCCTGAGAAGATGAACCCTGTGGCCTCTGAGCCCAGCTGATGCATGGCCTGCTGAGAACCGTTGGGGTTGTAGAGATACAGCTGGTATCCACTTAAATCACCTCCACCATGCTCCCAGTTTACCCAAAGACTGTCAGACTGGTTTCCACTCTTAGCTTTCAGGAACGCTGCAGCTGACGGGACTGAAGAGAAACACGATCACTGATACAATCTGCAAATCCACTCTTCCGGTACAGAAGGCATAATATCCTTTACATTTTATTTCCAGTCAAGGACCGTGTACTCTGGAGGACCAGCTGGTCTCACCTGTTCTGGTGTAGATGGAGGTCTGGTTGGTCTGGTCTCCACTGTGGATCTGGATCAACATCTTGTAAGGAGCACCAGGTCTGAGGCCCTGAAAAGTACACTGCTGACTGTTGGACTGGACGCGCTTTTTCTCGTGCAGCTGGTCATTACGATCATACAGAAAAACTTCATACAGCTGAAAGTCTCCCTCTGGTGGCGACCAGTGGAAGGACAGGCTGGTGGTGGTGTTTGCAGTGACGGCCAGATTGGTGACCACCGCTGGGTCTACAGGAGAAGGGACGAGGGAAGCTTTTAACTTTCACTAAATTTCATCAATCATACTGTGTACTTGAGGAGAGAAATCAAGAGTTTCTCACACATCACTGTAAATCGATTTTAGGTCAAACCACCAGAACCTGGTGAGTTATTCATCTTCTTTCTCATTATTGTTCCAACTAAATAGTCTAAGGCAGCGGTGCCCAATCTTTTTTGCGCCACGGACCGGTTTATGCCCGACAATATTTTCACGGACCGACCTTTAAGGTGTCGCGGATAAATACAACAAAATAAAACTAGTACTGGTACCGAAAAAAAGAAGATTTATTCATAACACACGTGAAAAGACCCAGGAAAGCCGAGTAAACGATAAAAACGATAACAAAATAACGCTGAAAACCGATAAAAACCCTGAAAACCAAACATTTCACACCTGAGCCTCAACTCTCGCGGCCCGGTACCAAACGACTCATGGACCGGTACTGGTCCGAGGCCCGGGGGTTGGGGACCGCTGGTCTAAGGGGCTTGGAAAGAAAAGCGTCTGGACGTCTTTAAGTTGCTTGAAGACGTTTCACTTCTTATCCGAGAAGCTTCTTCAGTTCTAGAGTCAAATGGTGGAGAGTCCCAGATTTAAACCCTGTGGGAGTACCCCCCCCCCACCCCCAAAGGGGGACAAAGGACCCCCTGATGATCCTCTACCTGCTCACATGAGCCAAGGTGTGAAAACGGGTGTGGGTCACAATCAGCCAGGGTTTCGGGTGAGCTCATTGTGAAACCTGACCCCAACCCTGGTTTCCTGAGGTCAGATGGCCCAGGATGTGAGTGGGCGTTAAGGCGTCTGGGAAGGATCTAAAAACTGGATTATAGATGGCAGACAGTTTGTGTTGTAAACCACCGCCTCTGTTCAAGGATGGTCGCTCACAGTGGACATAAATGGCTTCTTTTACTCCTCTTTGAAACCATCTGTCCTCTCTGTCCAAAATGTGAACATTGGCATCCCCTGTGGAGGTGGCTCTTCTATGTTGTGCCATGCGCTTGTGAAGTGGCTGTTTGGTCTCTCCAATGTAGAGGTCTGAGCATTCCTCGCTGCACTGTACAGCATACACCACATTGTTAAGTTTGTGTTTTGGAGTTTTGTCAACTAAATACTTTCTCAAAATATTCTGACTTGTCTATAAAATGTACAGTGGGATGCAAAAGTTTGGGCAACCTTGTTAATAGTCATTATTTTCCTGTATAAATTGTTGGTTGGTACAATAAAAAACATCAGTTAAATATATCATATAGGAGACACACACAGTGATATTTGAGAAGTGAAATGAAGTTTATTGGATTTACAGAAAGTGTGCAATAATTGTTTAAACAAAATCAGGCAGGTGCATAAATTTGGGCACCGTTGGCATTTTATTGATTCCAAAACCTGTAGAACTAATTATTGGAACTCAAATTGGCTCGGTAAGCTCAGTGACCCCTGACCTACATACACAGGTGAATCCAATAATGAGAAAGAGTATTTAAGGGGGTCAATTGTAAGTTTCCCTCCTCTTTTAATATTCTCTGAGTAGCAACACTGGGGTCTCAAAACAACTCACAGATGACCTGAAGACAAAGATTGTTCACCATCATGGTTTAGGGGAAGGGCACAGAAAGCTGTCTCAGAGATGTAAGCCGTCTGTTCCCACAGTTAGGAACATATCGAGACAATGGAAGACCACAGGCTCAGTTCAAGTTAAGGCTCGAAGTAACAGACCAAGAAACATCTCGGATAGACAGAAGCGACGGTGAGAACAGTCAGAGTCGACCCACAGACCTGCACCAAAGACCTCCAACATCATCTTGCAGCAGATGGAGTCGCTGTGCATCGTTCAAACACTCGGTGCACTTTACACAAGGAGATGCTGTATGGCAGAGTGATGCAGAGGAAGCCTTTTCTCCACCCACAGCACAAACAGAGCCGCTAAAGCACATTTGGACAAACCAGCTTCATTCTGGAATAAGATGCTGTGGACTGATGAAACTAAAACTGAGTTATTTGGGGATAACAAGGGGCGTTATGCATGGAGGGAAAAGAACACAGCAAGAAAAACACCTGCTGCCTCCAGTAAAATATGGTGGTATGCTGTGGGGCTGTGTGGCCAGTGCAGGGACTGGGAATCTCGTCAAAGTTGATGGACACATGGATTCCACTCAGTATCAGCAGATTCTGGAGACCAATGTCCACGAATCAGTGACAAAGCTGAAGCTGCGCCGGGGCTGGATCTTTCAACCACCCGAGACACTGCTCAAAATCCACTAAAGCATTCATGCAGAGGAACAAGTACAACGTCCTGGAACGTTCATCTCAGCCCAGACCTGAATATTATTGAAAACCTGTGCTGTGAGTTAAAGAGAGCTGTCCATGCTCGGAAGCCATCAAACCTGAATGAACGAGAGATGTTTTGTAAAGAGGAATTGTCCAAAATACCTTTAACCACAATCCAGACTCTCACTGGAACCTACAGGAAGTGTTTAGAGGCTGGAATTTCTGCAAAAGGCGGATCTACTAAATATTGATTTCATTTCTTTTTTTGTGGATTCCAAATTTATGCACGTGCCTGATTTTGTTTAAACAATTATTGCACACTTTCTGTAAATCCAATAAACTTAATTTCACTTCTCAAATATCACTGTGTGTATCTCCTATGTGATTTATTTAACTGACACTTTTTATTGTAACAACCAACGATTTATACAGGAAAATAATGACTATTAACAAGGCTGCCCAAACTTTTGCATCCCACTGTATAAAACATCAGGTTTTCCTCCATCACATTCAAAGTGAGAAACAGGAAGTCTTACTTGTCCGAGCCTCAGTGCTGACCCCAACACTGTGGACCCCGCCGCTGGTGGTCTGGACCACCACTCGATACTTCTTTCCTGGTGTGAGGCCGTCAAACTGCTGCCAGGTGTGTCCAAAGTGCTGAGAGACGTTTCTCACCATGCTGCCTCTGTCGTCCAGAACTTGGAGGACATATCCATCAGCCACACCCAGAGCCTCCTGCCAGCTCACCTGGATACTACAGGTGGTGTGGTGGGAGTCCACCTGGAGCCCTGTCACTGCAGAGGGGACTGAGGAACACAGGGATGATGCAGAGCGCAGTAAGGACCAGCTAATCTGTACGACAGCATGGTGTATATTCACTGTACAGAGGTGTGTCCTCTAACCTGTGCGCCCTGTGACCGTGTTGTTGTTCACCAGGTCTCCACTCACAGACTGAACCATGATGGTGTACACCTGGCCGGGCTGCAGGGAGCCGAACGTCACCTCGTTCTGGTGCTTGAGGACGCTTCGGGTACTTAACTTTCGGCTTTCTCTGTACAGAAACACGGAGAATCCGTCTACATCGCCCGGACCAGGAGTCCAGCTCACCATCAGACTGCTGCTGTCTCCACTGTTGCTAATGTGGATGTTCTTCACTTTACTGGGAACTGAAAGATGACAAAGAGCTTTTGATCTACAGCATTTTTGCTCTTTACGTCAAGGTTTAATGATGATGGTAATAATGGTGGTAATAAGTCTTAGTGGTAATCTGGTTAATTGTAGCTACCTGCTGCTGCTGATTTAGATGTAGAGATACTGTTCCCAGAGCAACTGCTGAGAAACTGCAGCGCCACCAGGAGGCATTTAACTTCCCTGATATGTTGTGTACGTGAGTCTAAGGAGCTTGGAAAGAAAAGCGAGGGTCGTGTACCCCCTCCTCTGCCTAACCTCATGAGCCAACATGTGAAAACGGGTGTGGATTTGGGTTGAACCCATTGTGAGACCTTGCCCCACCCTATCATGTGATCAAATGACCCAAGGTGTGAGTCACCCACATCATGACCCTCTTAGGGACACTCACAATAGGGCTTAAAAATCTGGGACTCTCTTAGAATTGGAGAAGCTTCTCAGATGAAACATCTTCACTAATCTTAAAGAATTCCCAACGCTTTTCTTTCCAAGCTCCTTAGACTGACCTGGCTGACTGAGAAACTTCACAAACATCTTCACAGACATTGTCCACCTGACAGCAAAGTGCAGGACTCTACAAATAAGCCGTAACAGATTTTCAGGATGTTTTGTAAACTGTAAATTACCAAGATTTTCCTTTTTGAACATGGAGTGCTGGATTATGTGGTGTGATGTTTAGAGGCAGCAGACCTCTGTGACCTCTGACCTGTGCGACCCTCTATGTACCGGGCCTTCTGATTGGTGCCGCTGTACGTGGAAACTATGATCTTGTAAAGCCGCCCAGGTGTGAGTGATGACAGGACGCAATCCCTCACACCGCTGCCCAGAGTGATGGGAGGAAACACCTTCATGTCGCTGAACAGCAGCTGCACTTCGTAGTGATCCACGTCACCCGGAGCTGCCATCCACGTCACCCGCAGGTCCTCGGTGCCCCGCCCAGCCAGAGTCAGGGAACGCACTGCCGCCGGGACTGAAGGATGGACATGACATGACCCACAGTTAGTCTCCAGGAGCCTCAGAGAGCAGATTTGCTTTGTTTTGAATTTGAAATGAACAAGGACGTTGCTGCTGTTTAAGCATATCAAAACTCCTGCAGAGATACTGAGAGACAAGAACATCTGCTGATAAATGGCTGTATTTGTATAGCGCTTTGCTAGTCCCTAAGGACCCCAAAGCGCTTTACACATCCAGTCATCCACCCATTCACACACTGGTGATGGCAGCTACATTGTAGCCACAGCCACCCTGGGGCACACTGACAGAGGCGAGGCTGCCAGACACTGGCGCCACCGGGCCCTCTGACCACCAGTAGGCAACGGGTGAAGTGTCTTGCCCAAGGACACAACGACCGGGACATGTTTCTTTGTTCCTCCTGGTTCAGATCTGAAACTTGGTGCTTTATTCCCACATCTTATTGTGTTGTAACAAGCAAAACATATGAACGTGATATAAACAAGTATTCATGTATCCATCCATCCACCCATCATCCATCCACCCATCATCAAAAATGCCCAGTCCCCTACTGTTCTCGTGGGACACAGAGGTGTTTCAAGTCCAGCTGAGGGACATAGCATGTCTGGGGTCTCCTCCCAGATGGACCGAAACATCTCAGCTAGCGTCCCTCAAAGAGGAGGAGCAGCAGCAGATCTGGCAACAAATACAGTTTTTCTTTCCTTCTCACCGATCGATCTATCGCCTGCTGAGCTCGACTGCATCCTGACATGTATCATCTAGTTTACTCGCCGAATGATGCAGCATTCATGTTCCTAATGAGCCCGACTGAGGTCAAAGGTCACTCACAGGTGCTGCCATGGGTGGAGGCAATGGCTTCGTACTTTCCGCTCCACGTGGTCACTAGCACTGTGTAGAGTCTGCCGGGCACCAGGCCGGTGAACACACAGTTGTGCTCCGTCTTTGGAACTGTCTTGTTTTGCAGGAAGACGTTGTTGTGCTTGATGAACACCTGATACAGGTCGAAGTCTCCAGCAGCGTGACGCCAGTACACCTTCAGGTAGCTGTCCGAAGCATTGTGGGTCGCTGTGGGGCTCTGGACCTTCGACGGCTCTGATGGAGGATAATCAGACAAGACTGATGATACCGGAGTTTACGGTGTTTTGTGCAAAAAGGGTGCAGCAGGTACAGAGCCAGGTGTGTATAGACCTGGACAAGCACGTGTTGGTATCATTTTTGCTGTTTAACACTTACAAACTGAATGAATTGTTCTAAAGTGCCGACTTTACTGCAACATGGTTTAAAATTCTGACTGGTCGATGCTGTGAGTGCTGTACATACGTGTCCTCTCCTGGATGAACGTCTGATTTTTGTAGAGACCGCTGCAGGTAGTGATGGAGATGTTGTAGAGGCGTCCAGACACCAGCGAGTCGAAAACGCATGTCGGGGTCGACTTGGGCACGGTGAGGGTGTGAATGGTCCTCTCCCGGTCACTCAGGGTCACCAGGTATCTGTCCACCTCACCTACAGCCTGACTCCAAGACACGCTGAGGAAGTCCATGCGCCCGTTGTTGCTGACCCTGACATCGCTCACTGCCGCCGGCACTGAGGGGGTAGGAAGAGGGCGGAGTCAGAGTAAACACACAAGCACACTCGTTTTCGTACCTTAGATTACCCTAACCATAACCTAAGTGTGACACTAAAAGCACATTTTGAGTCTCAAAAACATCTTCAAACTCGTGGGGACGGCTGTTCCCACTGCTGGAGCATTAGAACAAAGACTGATAACACTGTCAGTTTAAGCCCAGTGAATAAAAATGAGTTTTTAACCTGGATTTAAAGACCACCACTGAGGTAGACTGCCTGATGTGAGGAGGAAGATCATCCCAAAGCTTCAGGGCCACAGTAGAGGACACTTGATCTCCTCTAAGTTTCAGCGTTAGGGCCTGAGAGCAACAGCTGCTCAGCTGAGTGAACGAGGGGGGACGTAGGGCAAATATACAGGCGCCAGAGCAGTTAAGGATTTAAAAACCAGTAAAAAAAAATTGAAATAGATCCTCAGTACAATTTTAAGCCAGTGTAAGGAGGCCAGAACCAGAGTAATATGCCCAAATGTTCTTTTACTAGTTAAAACCCGTGCTGCAGCGTTCTGCAGAGAGCCCTATTGAATGATGTGTTCTACCTCATTTTTATTCTTCTTCTAATTATATTTAAACTTTTTGACACCGCAGGGACTGCACTTTATATTTTTTGTACTTGTTACAACAACAGGTAAGATATTCTGTTCTGTTCAACAAAACCTGCACCTGTGGAGAACTCTGACAGGAGCACAGAGAGCATGCAGAGATCACACGGGGGGAGCACTGAATCATGATGCTGTGGTGTAGCAATGCTCTACCATGTCTGCACACTGTGAGCTCCAAACCCAGAAGCTTTAGAAAAACATCTCAGAGTAAAATTAAAACGCAGATGACCTCTCGCTCCTGATATCATCAAAGTGAGCGACTGATCCTTACACGGCGCCTCTCTTCTCCCAGAGGCGCCTCATTCACACCAGCACTCTCTTTTGTAACAACCACTCACACATTCATTCTCCGAGCCACCTGGATCAAAGCGGATGAGCATGTTTCCTGCTGTTTATTTTGATCCGTTTCAAAGATGAAATCGTGACTACTCTGCACGCTCTGTATGTTCTGTGATCTTCATAAAGTCCTCTGCAAGTTATACAACGGCTGCTGGCACTGGTGAAGAACAATGAAGCTCCGCCCTGATGGGAAGTCTCTCTGTCATCAGCGCTTCCTGAAAATTCCTCACAAATTCCTGCTTTTCACTAATATCCTGCTCTCAGTTCAACAAGCACACAAAGTAAGAATGTGTCTGAAATACACAGAGTCAATACATAATCAATGGTATTATTGATCTTATTATGATCAATTATACTATTATTACGTCACATATACACCTGTTTTTATTTCTGAAAGACTTGATGCGCATTAACTTCTGTCCAGTTATATGACTGATAAATGCTGTTAACAATTAGCAGTGTTAATGACAACACTGGCACAGTTTGTTTAGCTGGGTTATGTTTTAATTCCTCAGGTTAATTCAGGGTTACCAGAAATAAACGAGCTGTTCTCATTGCTGTCAGGTGTGACTCACTGGTACAGCCTTCATGCTGATAAATCTCCCACAGCGTGAGCACTTTGTTTAAGCTGCAGCTCGACTCCACCCTCGTGTTGTTCCTGAAACGACTGCTGGCGTTTCTTACCTGTGCGTCCCTCGGACACCGTCTGTCTGGAGATGTGTCCCACTCTGACCGTGGTCACCACCACGCGATACAGGGCGCCCGGTCTCAGGGCCTGGAAGCTGAGGCTGCTGATGTTGGCCATCACGCTCTCATTCTTGATGACGCTGCTGTCGTGAACCAGCAAGACTTGGTAGGAGTCCAGATATCCGGAGGCCGGTGCCCACCGCGCCTGCAGACTGTCGGTGCTGCCGAGGTTGGAGAGCCGCAGCCCACTGACCTGAGCCGGAGCTGAGGGGGTGGAGAAAGGAAACGCATTACAACAGGAACAACAATAATGCTTCATTGATACTACAATCGTGGCATCGTCATCGTCGCTGTGACGTACTGGTCCGTGCCGTCACAGAGGCGGAACTGCTCAGGTTGCCGCTGTTGGTTGTCACGGTAATGATGTACTGGCCCCCAGGCGTGATGCTGTTGAAAGTGCACTCTTTGGCCTCCCAGCCGAGGACTCTCTGATCTACAATGGTGGCAGCAGCGGTTGCCCACCTGAGGAGCACGGTGAAGCCGTCCCATTGTCCGGGCGGCCGACTCCACCGGACGCTCAGTGAGGTTTCGTCAGCCTGGCGTACGAGCAGCTGCTGCACGGGCCACGGCGCTGCAGAGAGGAAGGGGTAGGGTCAACAACACTGATACCGACTCATTTTGGAAGTTCAGACTTCAAGTGAACTGACCCAGCTGACTGCTGCAGCGTGCTGTGTTGCTCAGAACGCCACTGTGAACTGTGACCTCTGCACTGTAGAGTCGTCCGGGGACCAGGCTGAGGACGGAGAAGGCGTGCTGCCTGCTTGCCTTACTGACGGTCTCATTTGCCAGAACCACCGAGCCGTTCTTCAGGATGACGCTGTAGTTCTCCCAGTCGCCTCTGGGGGGCAGCCAGCGGAGCCACAGTGTTCGAGCATCAGCCGACATAGAGAGCGCTGACACCTGGTCAGGTACTGAAACAGCACAAGACAGACGGGGAAATTAAAAGCAATAAAAACAACACAGACCCCCCAGCAGAGGGCGTCTGAGTCTGTGGTCCAGCGTTCTCACCTCCACCTGACGCGACGGCATGTACCTGTAACTCCCTCTGTACCTGCTCTCTGAGCTGAACTCACCTGTCCTCGCTGTGCTCCTGCTCTCGGTGCTCTGACTGCCTGCTGAGGAACTGACTGACACCTCGTAGCTACGCCCAGGGGTCAGGCCCTCAAACTCCACTTGGGTGATGTTGGGGAGAAGGTGGCGTAGCTGAGTGTCGGATCCTGGAGCCCTCAGGGTCACCAGGTAGGATTCCACCCCTCCTTTAGGTGGGAGCCAGGAGGCCCGCAGGTGGTCTGAGCTGCCGTTGTTTTCGAGGACGAGACGTGACACTTGTGCTGGGGCTGAAGAAAAGGAGGAGGACCCACGTTAGACTCATGTTTGTACAGTTTTCTCCTCTTCTTCCTGTTTCACCTGAACTTTACCAGCTGTCTCATGTGTTCACCTGGAAACAGCAGCAGTGTTTCAATACAATGATTAATGGGCGTTTATGTAATGTGGTGTGGGTGGAGAGTCTGTGCCACGTGTGAACAGATTTACTGAAGCGATGAAGAGGCTGGGTGAGGTGAGCAGCTGTAGACAGAGAAAGGGCGTGAGGGAGAAAGGTCTGAAATATCCCGGAAATGCCGCTGCTGCTGGAAAGAAAAACAGAGCCGCAGGACGACGAAGATCCAGTTTTTATCTTCACGCCGAAACTCGAACGCTCAGAGGAATGAAGACAACTTCATTAACTTCATGCTGACAGAAATATTTGAAACTATTTTACAGGCTAACAACGCCGAGGTAAAGTCTATCGGTTGCAAATCTCACAGCTGGTCGGCTGTCCGACAAACACGTGACTCGTTTAAGATGACACAGCAGGACGCAGCCTCGCTGAGTGGATTCACTGCCACTTCAACGCATTAAAGTCTGAACCAGAAAAACAGATGACCGAGGTCACGTTGTGGACTGTAAACAACAAAGATATTTAACGACGCTGTTAAACTCTGCGGAATAAGAAATAAAACGCAGCGATGTTCACATTGTAGATGCCTCCACAGATATTTGGGACTCAAACCCGATGCTGCAAAGTGTGGGTGGGGTTAGGGTCAGCAATGATGACCTCAGACGGTTAATTCTGATTGGTCAGTCGTGAACTCTGAAAAGACGTCATTTTACGTCCATGTCTGGTTGAAAGGTTGAGAAACAGACGAAAGGTTGTCTCCTCAAGCTCATTTTAGCCGTGACTTCCTGTATCCCTGCTGCAGCTTCCTGCTGATTGGAGCTCTGAAGACATCGTAGCTCACATCTGTCTGCGGGTGTTGTTTTACTAACACGTGCTTGTCGGGTCTCTCCAGGTGAACGCCTTTTGCTCCCTGCTGATGATCGGAGGAGTTTGTGGAGGTGTTCTGGGGATAACCACACTCAGATGTAGGTGAGCTTTGAGCTCAGTGTTTTTAATGCAGGTTATTTGTATTTCCCAGTTTATGGGTATTTGTAGATGGCATGGTGAAGTAGAATCTGTTCTGCAGATGAGTCCCTGACCTGAAATCCGCTAACTCCATATCTTTGTTTCATCGTCTACAGCATCAAACCGCTTTTTAAGGTGCAGGAAGAAAGTGGATGAAGGTTCAGAGACCTGGACATGAGGGCGAATCTCTAAATTTACAGTTCACACGTCCATCGAGTGTTTTGGTATTTTAGAAACACTCATGTACTCAGATTACTTCAGATTCAAACACGGGTCAGTGCTTTCGCTACCTGTGACGGATGCTGTCGAGGCGGAGCTCTGAAGGCCGACTGCTTCTGTTACCACGGTGATGGTGTACGGGGTCCCTGGGTGCAGACCATCCAGCTCTGCCGAGGTGCTGCTGTTCTTCAGAGTGATGTTCTTCAGCAGAACACCAGCCCGATCCCTCAGCAGAACCCTGAGGTTCTCCGTGCGACCCGAGCCGATCCACCAAGTCACCCCGAGGCTGTGTGAGGAAGAGGACGCCACCTGCAGGCCGTCCACTGAGGAGGGAGCTGAGGCAGGGAGAGAGGGGTGGTGGAGAGATCAGAGGGTATTGACACCACTGTGATGGTCACTGTTTTTCTTTTTAAACCACTTTCACGCTGAATGAGTTGCTCTGGAACTGTTTTAGTTTTATTCCTTTTTAAAGCTCTATGTTTTTATTATTATTGATCATGTGATAAGCTCTCAGCCAGTCAGGTGCATTCTAATCATGTTCCAGAGCAACATATCCCTCTGAGTGTAAGAATTTCATTGCTGGTAGTGATGTGCTGTTGCTACCTGTACAATAATAAAACTTGAACGTGAGAAGATTCTGCAGGTGTTGTAGCTCACCTGTAGCTGTCATTGCGTGGACAGGTGAGGCGCTCTTGTTCCCAGCTGAAGCTACCACACTGACTTTGTACAGAGTCCCGGGAATCAGGGAGGTGAACCCGGTTTGGGAGGCTGCAGAGCCCTTGATTCTGGTCCTGCGCCGGAATCCGGAGCTCGTGTCCTCCAGAGTCACATCGTACCAGTCCACACGACCGGTAGACTGAGTCCAGGACACCGTCAGAGCCGAGCTGCTTAGAACCATAAACAGGCTTTTATGATGAGGTTGAGCTGGGTCCAGCTGGAGGTCCAGATGAGCTGGGCCAACTGGGTCTGAAACAGGAGAGGACACTCAGTGTATACCCACACTGAAAACAGGACATTTTATTTTGAAATGACATTTTACAGCGCTTTTGTTTTCCATTAATTAATATTTGGATAATCAAAGTTTTTTAAAACTAAGACACTGAACTGTAGCAGCAGATTTCAGGGGGTTTGGTTTGGTTCTGGTGTATCTGTTGCTGTTCATTCAGAAACACTTTAGATTGGATCAGGCTGTGGCTCCTGCTTGGAGAAAGGTCTAGGCTGAGTTTAGGGACAGGCTGGGATTAAGGTTAGGGTTGGAGGTAGTGTTTGGATTGGGGTTGGGTTTCTGGTACAGACTGCGGTGGGCACTGAGATTTGGGTTGAGTTCAAAGGAGTACAAGTTTGGATTGCGGGTTGAAGACCATGGAAGGGGACAGGTTTATGGTGGGTTTGGGGACAGATTTGGAGTTTGAGTTGGACTGGGAGGTTATGGTCGAGGATCATGGGTGGGGTTGTGGTTTGGATTAGTTGCAGAAAAAAGACGCAAAGGAAAAAGAAGAAGGAGCAAAAGAACATCGAAAACAACACGTGAATTGGCGATTAGTGCAGCTGTCACAACTGCTCTGGTAGAGTCGGCTAGGGAAGACTGTGCGTTTCAGAGGGATGACCAAGAGATGGTAAATGATTTCCCAAAGCCAACACTACTATCCTGTAAACCAGAGGAGGAAAGACTTCCAATTTAGAGAAGCAGCTAAAACATCTGCATCCAGGTGGGTCTGAGTTTCAGTTTAGTCGTCAGCACCGCTGAGCATCAGCTTTGTTCCATAGTGTGCAGTCTGTTGGTGACCGCCCTACATGTAGCATGACCTGCCACCATGTTAGTGGTTTAATACGCCTTTTTAATGACCGGGTTTATATTTATGTTTTGGCATCTAGAATTGTGAACTTCTACTGGCTTTGGTGAATTCCCCATGTGGTTGGTGGTCGTGGGCGCAGTGATTCTTACACTGTGCTGCTGCAGAGGCCCACACGCTTGTTCGAGCAGCTAAAAGAATGAGAGCGTTTTCACGGAGGCAGCATGAGTCCACACAGGAAACTGAAAAAAATAGGCTGGGTGGGACAGGATGATGAGGACAACCCCCCCGGTCCTGAACTCTGGCCTGTTCTTCGTGATGGCTTCCTGTTTGAGCAGACTTCCCTGCTTGCTGTTGGAAGGCTGGCAACACCCCAAGGACAAAATGTCCGACCCACACAGCACGAGCTGCGAAGCTCCAGAAACGTCAACAGACTTGTAAAGATCCAAATGATTCTGTGACTTTTACGAGACGACTGGACCGAGGCACAGCAAGCAACGCCTGACTCCACCTTACCCTGAACAGTGGTCTTCAAACTGCAGCAGAGGAAACGTGTCCATGTGATTCACGGCCAGCCTTCAGTCTGACAGTCACCGTCCTGATGTGAACGTATTAATTGGGACGAAAGTGAACAGAGCAGGAACATTTTCAATGTTGAGAGAAAACCAGAGAAGCTCGGAGGCAGCTGCTCGTTCCAGAAAGTTCCTGATAAACACAGAAACACTCTCTAACAATGGTCTTCATCTCATCTTGAGTGTTTGTTTCCAGAAACATCCCCTCCTCACCCTCCTCACCCTCCTCTGCTCTCAGCCACTTCCTTCGTTTGTTTGCAGCAGGTCCTGGATCAGTTCAGTGATGGGGGGAGGTCAGGGTTTGGGTTAGTTTAGGCATGTTTTTGGAAAACACTTGTAATCATTAAAGCAAAGCATTAATCGGCCTCATTTACCAACAGTGCACAGATGCCGGTCCATCGTAAGGAAGCACACGTCTTTGAAACGACTGCTAATAATTATTATTGCCTTTTAGACTCTAATTAAAGTTTTCCAAAACATTATAAGCACCGAAATGCTTCTTCTTCTCACAGATCACGTCCTCCTCGTCTCCACGTTTTCTTCTTGTCTGCTTCTCGTTTCACTCCAAACATTGTGGAGCCACAGTCGCTGTTTGAGGGGAAACAATATTCAGCAGCCCGTTATTTCAGCCTGATTTATTTATCTCTCTGTTATTTAAAACAGTCATCACTCCCATGGAAAGCGGTCCCTGATCTGGATTCTTCCTTGGAGTTAGGAAAGTGTTTTAAAGGTTTCTGCAGCCGGACGTTCTCCTTCTTTCTTGGCTTAGCAGTGCAGGTTTCTCTCTTACATCGTTGCAGCGCTCTTCAACTTCACCTGGCCGTACGCAGGCAGTGGGCACAGTCTGATTTACTAACATGTTTCCCTAAATCTGATGGTGATTTTTTTGTTTTCATGCACGTGTTAGTAAAGCAGGTCCAGAGATATTGAATCTTGGAAGTTACAAGTTTGAATATTTTAACCGTATTATTTTTAGAAATGTTGATTTTATTGCTTGAAGTTTAAAAACCTGGCGCGCTCTAAAACATAATATGATCAATAATCAATAATGGCAGGAGGTTTATCGATGATGGGGAGCACACGTACACGGGTGTCATGAGAAAGGGGCGGAGCTTGTTCTAAGTAATGTGACGGTAAAGTTAAAATAGCTACACAGAGCACTCAGGTGCTAACTTCTGAACTGCAGCTTCACTCTTCAGGTGCGCTCCTACCTGTCTGAACTGTCCCGTGGCTAATCTCGCCATCCTTCCTGGAAACCGCTGTCAGCTGATACACTGTCCCGGGTTGCAGTCCCGTTATATTACAGATGGTGGCGCTGCTGGTCTCTCCATCAGACTTGCAGTGGGCAGGACTGGACCATGAGTCCAGAATGCAGAACAGACTGAAGTTACAGGACAGACCGGCGGACGTTACCTGCACCGCGATGGAGTCTGAGCTGGAGCTGATCTCCTTCAGGTCTGCGGAGCATCGGGGACCCTCTGAGGTCTGGACCTGCATCAGGAGGTCACAGAGAGAAGGGTCAGGGTCAAATGGTGTTTGTGAAACTCAAAGGCCTGGTGTCTGATGTCTTTTTTACACAAATGGCCTTCGCAATGCAAATGCAGAGGAGGTTGTCTCCTCCTGGGATCAAACCAAAGGGTTCATACTCGTGACACGAGTGTTTAAATGCCTGCACAGAGGTAAAAAGTTCCTCTATTAACATCGCACTCTCAGAAAATAAGGCACTTTATTGTTTCTGTAGTGCTTACACTCTCTAAGAAATGAAAAGAGTACGAGTGAGGGCCCAAAGCACTCTGTTGTGTATTTCCCCTGAGCCTGATTCTGTTGGAGGGTTCTTCCTGTCTAAAAGGAGTTCTTCCTTCCCACTGTCACCACAGACCATTGTCAGGTTGCCTCCGTATTACTTATTGGTCTTTGGCTTACAACAGAAAGCGGATGTAGATAAATGATCCGGTAACTCACCGTCTTTGCGCCCCAAACGAATCCAAGAATCAAACATGTAGCGGCACATCTGAGCATCCCTGATTTAAATCTGACCGCTCGGTAAGAAACACGCTTCCTCTGACACACTGACAGTTACAGACATCTTTCAGCTGAAGTACTTTGGTCCAGAGAGGAGCTGGAGGTTTCCTCCATCAGCTCCAGAGGCTGAAATGATCTGGAACTTCTTTCTCCTGCATCCCGGACCCGTGTGACTCTTTTCTCTCTGGGTCCATTGATCTTTAAACTTTCCCTCAGCGAGCAGAGGCACGTTCTGCACACCCCGCCCTGCTTTCCTTCCTGCCCGCCTCGGACTTTCTCCATAACCTTTAGCATCAAACTGAGCTCCATCGCTACCATCAGAGTGGGCTATTGTTGGGGTTGAGTTATCCAATCAGGAAACAGCCTCACACCAGAGGCTCGCTCTATTTATGTATGAGCAGCATCAAAGTCTGCTTTATGTTGCACGCACACCGTTTCTTCATCTTCATCACTGCAAAATCAGACCTTAAACCACACACAGAGGCTGCACCTCCTCTTTATTTCCACCACTGATTAAGTCATTCATTAGTCTATGCTTCTTCATCGCCTCTGATAAAATGTGTCTGAACTGCTTGATCAAAGGAGCTTGCAAAGAAAAGCGTTTGGACTTCTTTAAGTTGCTTGAAGACGTTTCACCTCTCATCCGAGAAGCTTCTTCAGTTCTAAGGTCAAATGGTGGAGAGTCCCAGATATAAACCTAGTGGGAGTTTCCCCCCACAGGGGACAAAAGGACCCCTGATGATCCTCTAATCGCCTGAGCCAAGGTGTGAAACTGGGTGTGGGTCCCAATCAGCCAGCCAAAACTCTGGCTGATTCACTCTAGTGATGGACGGAGTCGCTCAGTGAGCGGTAAACAGGAAACACACTTTGAGGTTACTCATACACGATCTTCATTTCAACACGGAAGTCGTGTTCTGAGACTCGACCTCTTGACTACATTTGACTTTGATTTTCAGAATAAAAAAGAGTCTGGAGAGCTTTACCAGGTCAACATGGTAGAGTAAAATAATACTATTAATACTGTGTTTCCATAGTAACACAGGAGTGTGATCGTCTTTTCATACACTCAGTATGTACTGGCTTTGAGCTCTCAATTTGCTCTCCACCAGCTCCACAGACCCAACCATCTGCTTCAGCTGGAAGCAACGCTCCCACGGAGCACCAAAACCACACCAGTCACAGGAAACCAAACCTCTGCCAACATCTGGCAGGTTTCCCACTGATCTTCTTCATACAAGTAGCTTGCAGTCAAAGATCAAAATCAAGGAGAATAAAACTGATCTGGAGTTAACCGGCGTGAACTACCGCCAAACACAACACAACATCCTGAACACGTCTAAACACCATTTTAATCAGGTATGAAGACAGGCGTGCTCGCATGTTGAAGTCCTCTAAAATAACAGCATCAAACAGAGGTGGGGTACTCACAGGTGTGGTGGAGGTGACTCTGGACGTAGTAGTGTGAAGCATGCTTGTTGCTGGAGCGCGGGTGCTTGTTGCTGTGGGGCTGGTAGTGGTGGTTGCCGTGGTTTTGGTGGTTGTAGCAGGAGATGCTGTTGCAGTCGTAGGTGGGGTGGTTGTAGCGGGAGATGCTGTTGCGGTCGTAGGTGGGGTGGTTGTAGCGGGAGATGCTGTT